TCTTATTGCCCAGGTGACAAAATATTTCCTTGACGGCGGGAAATGCTTTCAGCTTGTTGATTTCTTTTGGTGATTTTTTGGCATACCAATTCTTGATGGAAATAGAAAATAGAAGTACCTATTTTTATCAGCCATGTATTTTTTTAAAAAAAGAACAAATTTTTCTTCAGTTGATTTTTTTTTGTTCTCAGTTGGAACTTAAAAAAATTTTAAACAATAGAAATAAAGAAAGTTGTGTGAAAAAGTTGAAACATTTTTACTTATGCAAACAGACTCCTTTAAAATATAAATTTATTTTGGAAAACTAAAATAATATTTTGTTGCTATTAATTTTCAATGTTTCCTGCAGTTTTAGAGTCAATTTATCTATTAAAAATTAAAAAGCTGAAAAGAAATTTCAATTAATTATTTTTTATTATAGCGAGCGGCAAAATTACAGTCTTGATAAAAAGGGGGTGAAAATTTTATCATGTCGGTGTAAAGTGTCAAGGTAGCTGACCTTTGGGGCAATTTTGGCTGCTAATAAAAGAGTGAGTCCCATTTATTTTTATTATTTATTTCTCATCGGGCGCGCACTGCGACAATTTCAGCAACAACAACCGCGACGATGGACCAAAGCGAAACTGGCAAAGCGCTTTTCGCACTCTGCGTGCGCGAGACCGCAACAAATTGTTGAGAGCAGTGGTGACCGCTGAGGCCATTCGCTCGCCTCCATCGATGAAGACAACTTCGACAACGTGTCCCAGAGGAGCCCTGCGAATATGTTGACGCTCTCTCGCTCTGTGGGTGGCGATGCCGCCGATGACCACTGTGGCTTGCTGAACTGAATTCGCTAAAAGTGCACAACTGGCTATGACTCACAAAGGCACCTGGAGGAATTCTAGGCACATGAAAATTTTTTCTTCAGCAACATTTTTTTTCAGAGTTAAAGGACTAAAAATTTTTAGCAAATGTCTAGCTGGACGTGGATATTATTAAAAGATATGATAGTGTCATAGGGGACTTTTGAGCGGATTTGATTTCAGAGAATAAATTTAAAAAAATGGATCATGATTTGTAAAAAAAAAACCAGTCTTATTATGTAGTTTAACTAAGAGGCTAGTGCTCTCATAGATAATTGAAAAGCAATTCGGCTAAGGAAAAATTTAATTTCTGAAAAGTAAATAAACATAAATTTCTCCCACCAAACCGAAATTTTAAAAACCAATTAGAACTACAATAAGTATCGGGCTATAATAATTTTTTATTTAAACTGGTTGAAGATTGATAAAAAATAAAAGTGCACGCAAATTAAATTATTGGGCCAATTTAGTTATCTCCTTTCGCCGCGACAAGATATAAAATTAATTACTTATTGGCAGGGCAGATTGAAAAAGTTAAAAAATTGTATCATCTTCTCTACCTTTAATAAAAAGCATTTAACATCTTTAACATTTTTTATTATTTATTAATTTAATACTATTACCGAAGTAATTTTTTTATTATAAATTATAATAGATCGAAGTTTGAAAATATTTCGTATGACCATTTGTCACTACTAGTCGTGGTTGCGCTCAATGTTAAACTCCTACACCACCTTCCGAGAGAAAGTCAAACTAAAACCAACAGATCCAGCGAGAGTTGTGTAAAAAATATCATTGTTTTTACAATGATTTTCAAAAAGCAGAAATTAAATAGGATACGAAAATTTTAAAAGTATTTAGTAGTTTCGTTAATTTTGTGGTTTACGGATAAAAAAGCGCCAAGCTTGCCAGTGATAAGCTATTAGTAGTAATGAAATCTACATTTCCTTGTTCAATTTTAGTTAATTTTCCGTAGTGTTCACGACGCGATAATTGCAAGTTAGGAGACTCTGTAGTGAAGCGTGGAATCAAACTGTCGTGACTCTCGACAGGACTTTTCCCCGAAGTTCTCACTTGCGCAGAGCTGGAGACTTTCCCGGACTCGAACGTGCTTCTTAATTAATTAATTGACTTAACTTGGCGGCCTCATGGAAATTGGCTTTAATTCTAATTGGCCTTTAATGCTTTTACTCTTTTATCTTTGTGCTCTAACTAAAAAGGGTTAATTGATATTTCAAGTAAACAAGTTAATTAACAATAACAAATAAAGTGATGGTTTATTCTTAAAACTAAACAATAATTGGCCAAACTAATGCGGAATTACTATTAGATTTAATATTCAAATGCTGAGTTTTAAGGTTCGGACTGAATTAGTGAACGGATTAAGCTGATTTAAAAGGATATTCAGTTCGGAATTTATCTAGCGTGGGCGCCAAGCAATACCTTTTAAAGCGGGAAGGGAAACCATTACAACCACACTCAGTCGAGTCCAGGAAGCGTCTGCTTGGGCACTCAGGTGGCGCCCTGAGCGCGGCGGTCGTAGTTCTTGGTGGTGGCGTGGCGCGCGGGGCGGGAACTTAAGGGTTGTGCTCAGCTTTGGTTAATATACTAAATGGCCTTAACGCGCGCGGTTACATAATTATAAGATTTGTACAATTAAAGTTCTTCTTCTGCAATACAATAATTAAAGGTCCCTGTGGTTACACCACAGACTGCCTCCCGACAAATTTGAGTCACGCCCTCGTGACTCGTAACTTCTTTGTCCTCCCGGGTCCTCGGCAGGGTCAGTCTGGGGCGCAAGGTTGACAGCATTCGAACAAGCTGCGCAAGTGCTCTCGAGGGCCGAGGGCGTCCGAGACAATGGGGTTGTTATCGGGTCCCTCAGACAGGCTTGCGCTCCGCTGCAGGTTCTCAGGGTGGTGAGAATTGGTTCTCAGCGCGCGCGTCATCCAGGTTGCCCTCAAATCAGCAACTCGGCATCTGTGACCTTTGCTCTCTGTTCGGACAGATTCATAGACAAATATGTTTCGCAAACAGTGAACTTACATTTTAATTACAATTTTCGAAAATTTTAAATTTTGTTCCTTAATTAACATATTATTAATTTATAATTGCCACTTTTGGTATTTTAAAACCAATTTTTTTTTTTAAATTAATTTCTTAAATTACAAATTTAATTTATCCGTAAAATTAACATGATTTTTAACATTTTAATCTTAAGAAAATTTGGCACGAAATTGCTCACACTGGATTAAATAGCTAAAAAGCAGCATGAATGAAGGTGGTAAGCAACCCGCGCTACATTTGTGCGAGCGTTTTCTTTCTTCCTCATCTTCTTGCCTGCTCGCTCCTGCGGGAGGCGTGACGTCACGCACAGGGCAGCGAACAGCGGTGCGGTGGAGGGAGGAGGAAAGGTACCAAAACAAAACATAAACAAATTGGCGATGAGAGAACTGCACTCGTCGATGCGGCGATGATTTTCGACACGATTTTGCTTGCCGACAGTGCCGACGAATGTAGGAGGTGAGCTTGAACTATTCGCACATATAATTATTCTAACATTTTGACAACAATTTTAAAACACAGCTTAGATTTAAGTGTCGCGATTTGTAAGCACTCTTATCTCACAACGTAAACATAATTTCAAAACACAATTCTTATTTTAAATTTTCTCTACTTTTCTAATTTATGCTGGCCTAACTTAATTCCTTGCATTTAAAGTTAAACATAATCATTGAAATCATAATACTGTCCTCCTTAAATTAAAATTACAAAACACAATTTTACACAATCAATTCTCAAATTTTTTCTGGACAAAATTCAACTGTGTTACATTTAACAATCTTGTTTTCCTTTTTAACTTGTAACTTTTTGACATTTTATATCTTAAATCTTAATTATAATTGGGGAAATTCTAACTTTTGCTGTGGCTCATTTGCTTTTAAAACATTTTATCATTTCACAAAATATTTAATTAATTTTCATTTACTTTTAAAATTCACTTTCTTAATTTTAATTACATTCTTGCCTTAAAATTAAAAATTCACACATACTAATTTTCACATTCTTTCAGGATATCTCTTGCTCGTCAAGAAGCTTTTACGGCCTCCCGACAAGACTCTTGCGTCGGTCTTCTCTTCTGGTGGGATGAGATGACTCTACTTGGACCTTGGGGTTGCTCGAGGTTGGCATCCAAGCACACTGGAGCCTTTCTTTGGTTTCCGATGGAGGGAGCCCATCGAGTTGCTCGGCAGTGGCGGACATTCACGACAAGCTTGACGAAGGCTAAGAGGTGAGTGAGGCTGCACCATTGTTGCCTCTCAAAGCCCTCTGGATTGGACATCTCTTGGCCGGGTGCCCTCGGGCTGAGCAGAATGTGCACTTTTGCTCGGGGCACCGGCCAAAGCGATGTCCTTTCCTGGAACACAGCTGGCAAGGCACGTTTGGGCAGTTCCTCGCCATGTGTCCCTTCTGTTTACACTTGTGACATTTCTTTTCTTGCAGGCTTTCCTTGGTTGCTGGAGGGTGGCCGTTGGTGATCGGCAGTGTAGCTCCCACCGTGGAGCCACACACGGAGGTGATGGTCGCACTCGGAGGCTGAACGGGGCAGACTGACGGTGCTGCTGGATTGCTCTGCCACATATTGGACGTCACCACACTGCTGGTGGTTTGCATGAGAGTGCTCTGGTGGTTGGGGGCACCAAAGACAGCATCCTTCAGCTGGCGAATGTATCCCAAGAGCTGCTGCTGCTGCTGCAATTTTTCATCCTCAGCTGCTTGAGCTTGCTCCTCACGCTCACGCCGGAGCTTGGTTCGCCGCAAGAAGTGCTCTTGATTTTCTGCAATTTCCCTCATGCTGGAAAGGTGATTTGAATTTGAATAAACAATTGCTTGCTGAAACTCGGTGCGGAGCCCCTCAAAGAATCGGTGCTTCAGTTCCTCCTCCAGGAAGAACCGTCGTGTTTCCTCCTTGTACTTGGTTCGTTCGAGCAGGGCACTGAGGAGCACCTCCCCTGCATTGACAAGTCGGCGGTAGAACTGGACGACTGACTCATTGCTGCCTTGTTCCAGGCCATCAAACGCATCTTTGGCCTCGGAGTAGCTGGGTGGCTGCTCAAACTCGGACGCCAACGCCTTCTTCAGGTCTTGGAGTGAGAGGGCGTCCAAGTTGAGCTTGCTGGCGAACCGGAACACGTCGCCTTCAGTGTTGCTGACAGCAAGGCGGACAAGCTCTGCATCTCGGGTGTTTGGAAAGGCGATTTTCACCCGCTCAACACTGTGGATGAAGTTCTTCAAGGACAGGCTGCCATCTGCTTTGTAGATGCCAATCAACTGGTAGACATGAGCTCGAATGGCGATGGACTGTGGGTCTTCTGGTTGGATATCTCTGTTGACCAACTCGGACGAGGTGAGAGGTTCCATGGTCAAATTGGTGAGTACAATATTACAAAATTTCTTAAATTTATTCGCTTATTTATAAAAATTGAGCCACAACAATAAAATTTAGCAATGGACCATTTTATTTGTTTCTTTGTAAAAAAAATTCTCTCAATTAGAGGATTATCACCCAATCTCTAATTTAACTTTTCGCGTTTTTAACCCAACTTTGCTGATTACTTTTAACTTTCAATTTCCGAGTTCCTTTTTGGCATGAAGTGCACCTTTGCAAAACGCCCTTAAGGCTGATATTTACAAAAAGCACTCTACCCAATTAAATAATAGGATCCATTACAACTTAAAAGAGATACCTTAAATTAACAGCTCTGCGTTTTTCTTGGTCGCGCTCTACAGCAGTGTGCCTGTGTTTTCCCGTGAACAAAATCGGCAAGGTGCTTCTTAAGGCGCTCTCCTTCCGTCAGCCTCTTTTAACTTTCGGTGCACCTCGATCCAGCGGTCGCTTCTTGTCGATGGCACCAGGCTTGTCACGGTCGGTCTCGGATCCTCAGAACTTCGGCGAAAACAGGGTACGGGAGAGTACCGTGCTCTCTGGGCTGGCCAGGGTGCGCGGGACGTTCCAAAGGGTGCGTTAATTTGGAAAAAAAACACACCCCACCCACCTGACACCAAATCTGTCGTGACTCTCGACAGGACTTTTCCCCGAAGTTCTCACTTGCGCAGAGCTGGAGACTTTCCCGGACTCGAACGTGCTTCTTAATTAATTAATTGACTTAACTTGGCGGCCTCATGGAAATTGGCTTTAATTCTAATTGGCCTTTAATGCTTTTACTCTTTTATCTTTGTGCTCTAACTAAAAAGGGTTAATTGATATTTCAAGTAAACAAGTTAATTAACAATAACAAATAAAGTGATGGTTTATTCTTAAAACTAAACAATAATTGGCCAAACTAATGCGGAATTACTATTAGATTTAATATTCAAATGCTGAGTTTTAAGGTTCGGACTGAATTAGTGAACGGATTAAGCTGATTTAAAAGGATATTCAGTTCGGAATTTATCTAGCGTGGGCGCCAAGCAATACCTTTTAAAGCGGGAAGGGAAACCATTACAACCACACTCAGTCGAGTCCAGGAAGCGTCTGCTTGGGCACTCAGGTGGCGCCCTGAGCGCGGCGGTCGTAGTTCTTGGTGGTGGCGTGGCGCGCGGGGCGGGAACTTAAGGGTTGTGCTCAGCTTTGGTTAATATACTAAATGGCCTTAACGCGCGCGGTTACATAATTATAAGATTTGTACAATTAAAGTTCTTCTTCTGCAATACAATAATTAAAGGTCCCTGTGGTTACACCACACAAACTATGGATTGGAAGAAATCAATTTTTATACTGCTGTATTTACCAGCAATTATACAAGGTTCGCTTCAACTTTTATTTCATTTTCTACATTTTCTCTCCACTACTTTTATTTCATAATTTTAAGTATCTAAACTTTTTTCGATTTTTATTTTTTTTATTTTTTGCAATGTAAGGACTTTTTATTTCTAGGCGTGGTTTACTTTATCAAAAATGATATTATGAATGAAAGTGGAATTTGTTATACCGACTCAGAGTACAACAATGGACCCACAATGGCGTTTATACGTAATGTAAAAAAAGGTATTTTACCACGATTCATTTAACAAATCACATTTAAGTATTATTTTATATACTTCAATCAAATCTCTAAATTAAAAAAAAAAACAATTGGGCTCTGAAATTCTTTTATTATTTATTAATTTGAATTTAAGTTTCATTGAATTATACCCATCTTAATAACAAATTAATACCAGCTAATAGCTGCTAAGTTACTAATTTTTTTGTCAATTATCATTTTTTATTGCGATCATGTGAATTTTTATATGAAATAGTTCTTTTTATAAATATCAAATAAATGTAAAATTTTTTTAGAATAAAGTGAATAAACTACAGGAACTTCGCCCTGTCTGTGTAAAAAATTAGACATTTCGTTAAAGCTAATATTAAGTTATTTGATCTCATTCTATTTCTGAATAATTTTTCCTGCTCGGCCATTTTCCCAAATAAGGCTGCCCAAACCCAACCGACGAGACATTCATTGCGAATGGGTTGATAAATGATTGCAACTTGGTGAGCGCCAATGGTTGCGGAAATTGGATGACAGATCATTATGAGCTAAAAACCAATTTGGTTGATGGAGACTGGTTTGATGAATTTGAGCCCGTGCTTGACCATCGTTGGAACTGTAAGTTAAAATACATATGACACCAAGAAAATTTTCAAGTCAAGCAGTTCTGTAATAAATATGCAAAAAACGACCATTTTTTCAATTACATAATAGCTTTTTTGATCAAAACTCACATCTTTCAAAACATAAAACAAAGGCTTGATAATGTGAATTAAAATTTTTCCAAAAAATATTAGATTTATGGTTTTTGGCTATTGCATTATTTGAATCTCAAAATAGACTTCTATATGAAACTTATTGAAATCACGTGCTGCTAATTTATTTTAAAAACTAGCGTTCAAAGAAATTGTTACCTGTGGGGGTGGCGATTTCACAAATTGGACCAGAATGAGGACTAATAATAGCCAAGGAAGGTTTCATTACTCAGTTTTGGCTGATCACAGTGCCATTATATCACTGACAAAACACGAAAACTCGCAAAATCAACCAGGGTTTCAAATAGTCCTGGATGGATGGAGAAATCAACTCAAGTCTTGCATTCGCTACTGTACAGATCTATTAAACAGCTTAACTTGCACTGTACTTGCGGAAAAGGTTAGTGTGCCATAATGATGAAGCGGACAGTTAACACTCAATAACAATTTCTAAACGCAGGTAAATGAAAATATATTCAACGGAGGTAACGCTTGGGCTACTGTTACGGTTGAATATGAAATGGACCCGCTCAATTCGCCAACAACTTTAAAAAAACTTTCTGTCTCAGTGATGAACAAAAACTGGAAGCTTGAATGTTCTGGGAATAAGTAAGCAATATGAATTATAGAGTTCAAAGTGGTGTATTAAAAAATCATTTAGCTCACATGAAATATTCAATTTTGTTGCCTTCAAGACACATGAAGATGTGGGATACTTCAGGATTCATAAGTGTGAGTTTAATTCACAAGTTTTTTTTTATGTTCCAAAAATTATGCCTTATTTAATTTTTTAAGATAATTACATTGAAAAAGGACAAAATCAAACCACGTTAACTTCAGAAATCAAACAAGAACAGACCGCAGCCGCAATAAGTTTGAGTTATTATCTAAAAAACAAAATAAGAGACACTGTTTCTGTGCATACTTCGACTGATCGCAATCCATGGCAATCAACAAAGCTCCCAACTAACGCAGATGGAAAGTGGCAAACAGCAACAATTTTGCTCGTGAATCAGACAAATAAAATAGCGCGTCTATCTTTTGGACTCTACGAGTTTGAAAAAGTTTGCATAGGTCACATATCTTTGCTAAGCAGCGAAACTTTTGGGCATGGTAATCAAAATATAAAAAGACGTTTTTTCTGTTAACTTAAAAACTTTTTATTTCAGGCTTCATGATATCGTCACGAGTAAAAAATTTGCTTTCCTGTTCGAATCTAGATCAAATTAACACAATATTAACAAACAAAACATCGGAATTAAAAATTGAAAAACTTGGTGAGTTCTGCTTTTTATGTTTTTTTTTTTTTTTTTTTTTTTTGTTAATTAAAAAGTCAATAATTTAATTCTCAGTCTTGAAGTCTGGAAAAGATAGAGAAACTATTTGCCAAAAGTTGGGAAGCGATAATTGCAGCAACATCGAGGCGTGCGACACAACTGGCTGCTTCTGCATTTCTGGATTCAAAAGAAAAAACGGAAAATGCATTGAAAGTAATGAATGGTTTTTAATTTATTTTCATTTTTTGTAAAATGAAACAAAAAAATTACGAAAGAATGCAGAGGCAAAGAGTATGGACCAAACTGCGACCTCCTATCTGAAGTAAATTGCCCTAGAGACCATTTAAATGTTTACACGGGAAAGTGTGGTTTGTGTGAACAACACGGTTTTCATCCACCAGATTGTGCAAATCGTTTGACTAATGACTTCATTTTTATAATGAAATAAATATTTTTAACGCTCTCAGCCTGCCGGGATCGCTCCTATGGCCCAGACTGCGCCTTTCAACTACCTCAGAAGAGAAGTTGCAAGGGAGATTATAATAAAACAACCGGCTTGTGCTTATTTGGATGCGAATTCAGAGGCCAAAAACCCCCTTTTTGTGATCGAGGTCTTCAATTAGCAAAGGCATAAATAATTTATTGATTGCTATCAATTTTCTTTTAGATTGCGATGATGGAAAATTTGGTGCAAATTGCACCCAAGACCAGCCATTTGGTAAATGCAAGGGTAGTGGATCTTATGGAAATTACAACAAGGATAATGGGAATTGCATAGAAGGCTGTGCTCAAGCATTTCAACCCCCAAAGTGCTCAAAAGGTATAGTGTTCTGTATCGTTTGTAACTTTAAAAATTTAGAGGTTTCTTTTTATAAAAAAATAGAATGTGATAACGGAGCTTACGGAATCAATTGTGAAGAAAGACGTCAAAAAGGTTGCTCAGGCCCTGGCGATTACGGTGAATACAATAAAACTACAGGGCAGTGCTTGAAAGGCTGCAAATTTATTGGAAAACAGCCACCTTTTTGTAATTCAGGTAGAAATCTGTATCCTCTGGCATTTAGAATTTTGATTTAAATATCATTAGAATGCAATGACGGAAAATTCGGGGAAAATTGCAAGCAAGAACAGCCAAGTGGTAAATGCAGGGGCGACGGTCCTTTTGGAAATTACAATAAAACAAATGGATATTGCATAGAAGGATGTTCAAAAGCAGGATTAAAAACCCCACAGTGCATAGACGGTGTATATTTTTGAGTAGTTTTGAACATTTCTAAATTTGAAGCGCTTTCTTTAGAATGTGAATATGGAGATTTTGGATCCAATTGTGAAGAAAAACGCATAAAAAATTCATGCTCAGGCTCTGGTGAATACGGAGAATACAACAGAGTTACAGGGGAATGCATCAACGGTTGCAAATATCATGGCAAACAACCACCAAATTGCCATACATGTAAACAAAATTGCCTTCTTTATTCTTTCGATTAAAATATTTTAAAACTCAAAAAATTTCCAGCCTGCACTAATGGAACATTTGGACCAAACTGCAGCAAACAACTTGTTAAATCAGGCAAATGCTCGGGTCAAGGAAAATATGGCGATTATGACAGCGCCACAGGCAACTGCAAGTGGGATTGTGCAAGAGTAGGCTTTGAATTCCCTTTGTGCGAGCAAGGTTTGTTTGTAGAGGGATTAACAACTATTTCTTTACCTTTTATATTTTATAGAATGCAGAAACGGAAAATACGGACAAAATTGTAACTTTCAACTCAAACAAAATGTTTGCGCAGGCCAAGACCCTTATGGTGATTACTCAAAATCTAATGGTGACTGCAAGAGTTGCAAATTCAAGGGCAAAAAACCTTCAAAATGTGAACATGGTCCGATTAATTTGTTAAGCTTATTGGACACATTTTGAAACTTTTATTCTTCTTAGACTGTGACGAGGGATATTTTGGTGAGGACTGCAAACAAAAGCTAAGTGAAAAATGCTCAGGCAACTACCATCGCGATACAGGAAATTGCAAAAAAAGCTGCGCTAAATCCGGACTCAAATTTCCAGAGTGTGAAAAACGTAATATTACTTTATTTGATAATTAATTTTATTCAATTCACATTTTTTTTTTTAATTTGACGTTTATATCCTACCTAGCTTGTGACCAAGGGAGGTATGGATTAAATTGTTCTGGGGTTATGAAAACTGGTAAATGTGCTGGTCCGATGCCATTTGGTGCTTATAATAAGGAAACGGGCAATTGTACTCAAGGCTGCGCTAAACCTGGCTTTTATCCACCTGCTTGTGTTTCTCGTGAGTCAAAATTTTGATTCGACAAATTAAATTCATATTTTTATAACTAGATTGCATAAATGGATCTTTTGGATTAAACTGCAGCAAAAAATTGGGAGAGAGAAAATGCGTTGGTAATTTTAAATTTGGAAACTACAATCCTTATACGGGTGTATGCAATGGGGATTGTTTGTATCATGGAGTTGAGCACCCTGAATGTGAGAAAGGTTTGTATTAACAAGCCCAGAATCTAAAGATAATAACTATTAAAAAAATTATCAGACTGTCAAAACGGGTCTTATGGAAAACACTGTTTATCTAAACTCTCACCTAATTCATGTGCAGAACAGAGCGTAGGGAATTACGATAAGAAAACTGGTGATTGCAAAAAATGCGCTCGATCAGGATTTAAATTGCCAAAATGCACCGACTGTAAATCAATAAAATGTAATATTTTAAGGCTGGTAGAAAGCAATAATATTTTTTAGCATGCGAGGAAGGAAAATTCGGACAAGATTGCCAGAGAACTTTAACCAAATTAAAAAAATGCTCTGGTGGAGGAAATTTTGGAAACTACAGTCGTGACTCAGGGAATTGTTCAGTTTCTTGTAAGGATCCAGGGTTCGAATTTCCATGGTGTGAAAAAGGTTCTTTATTAAAATGTTATTTTTAAATTAAAAATACTAAGTGTTTTTTTTTATGCATCAAGAATGTGAAAATGGAACTTATGGACATAACTGTAACAAAACTTTAAGCAAGGTAAAAAAATGCTCCGGTCATGGAAAATTTGGAAATTACATTCGTGAATCGGGGAACTGCAGCATTTCCTGCAATGAGCCCGGTTTTGAATTTCCTTGGTGTGAAAAAGGTAATTACTGTTAAATTTTGAAAAAAAAAAAAGATATATAATAATATATTCTTGCTCATCAAGAATGTGAAGAGGGTAAATTTGGACAGGATTGTAGACAAAATTTAACCAAATTGAAAAAATGCTCTGGTGCTGGTAATTTCGGAAATTACAGCCGCGATTCTGGCAATTGTAATTTCTCCTGCAAAGAACCAGGATTCCAATATCCATGGTGTGAAAACGGTAATTTTAAGCAAAAATTTGAAATTCGAAAAGGTAAATTGTTAATGAATTTTAAGAATGTGAAGAAGGAACATTTGGACAACATTGCCAACAAAAATTAAAAGAAGGTAAATGCTCAGGCGATGGAAAGTTTGGAAACTACAGTCGTGACTCGGGGAATTGTTCAGTTTCCTGCCAAGAGCCAGGGCTTGAATTTCCTTGGTGTGAAAAAGGTAGAATTAAAAATGTCAATTTTTCTAGTAAATTCGTTTTTCGTTTTAATGAAATTTAAGAATGTGATGGAGGAAAGTTTGGGAACCACTGCGAGGAGCAACTAAATGAAAAGAAGTGCTCAGGTGGTGGAAAATATGGTAATTACTCAAAGGTAAATGGACAATGCAGGGAAACGTGCGAAAAGCCGGGATTGCAGTTTCCAGACTGTGAGGAAGGTAAAGAGTCACATTTTGGATATTGAGAAACTTTACTAATTGCTATGAGAAAGAATGCCGAGATGGAAAATTTGGCATTAACTGTAATGAGGGACCAGGTGAGGTCCAAGGTCGTTGTTCTGGGGAAGGTGAATTCGGAGGATATGACAAAGCAACTGGTCATTGCAAACAGGGCTGCAGGTTTATTGGAATGCAACCGCCGATGTGCACCTCTGGTTTGTATTCTGCTTTAGCATTAAAATAGTAGATTTTAATTATTAATTATAGAATGCGAGAAAGGACAATATGGGATGAACTGCACAGAAAAATTGGACCCATCGAATTGCGTGGATGAACTTTATAATGTAACAAGCGCGCATTGCTTAAGGGGGTGCGCACGCGAGGGTTTCATTACTCCATATTGTGACAAAGGTAATTTGCAAAAAAAGAAAAGAAACACTAAAAAATTTAGTAAGATGAAATTGAAATTTTTGCACATATATTTAAAAATAAAATTTTTAGATAATATTATTTTTTAAATAAAAAAAAAATTTGATTATAAATCATTATATAAAGTGAATATTTTGGTGAGCAGAAATTTGAACTTTAGAAATGTGTACTGCATTATATTATTTTAAAATGAAATGATGAGACTAAAAATAAGTTATTCTTTTATGAAATTTTTTTCGTCATAGTAAATCGAATTTCTAAAATAAAAAAAAATTCAATTCATTTCAGAGGAATCAAATGCATTGCTTTATGGAATCACCTGTACTATCCTCCTTTTGTCTCTGGTAATTATAGTTTTCTACGTGATCATTATCCGCAACCGACGAGGCAAGTGCTGGCTTAGAAAAGGCAGTTCTCGTTTGGATGAAACGTTAGAGAGTAAAGCCAACTAGGAAACGTTGATCACAAGATTTAAAATATTATTTTTTTAATAAGATGTCGCTGACGAATTTGCTATGGAACCGCTAGCCGTAGCCCCCCTCATCCCCCCTCGCGCAGACGTGCAGTCAAGTGTGATTTTTGTCGCCGGCTTTAGCGAGTTTTTGGAACAAGCGTGCAAATCTGATTTGCTAAAGCAACAGCATAATGTGCGCATAAAAATATATATATTTTAATGGAAGAAGTTTTAAATGCGATTTCAGAAATTTCCTCGTGGACAAATGAAACCCTGGGAAGTTGGAAAATCGAGAGAGAATAAATCAAAAAACCGATACGGCAACCTGGCTGCCTACGACGAAACTCGAGTGAAATTAACTTTTCAAACCGGATCTGATCAAGGCGATTATATCAATGCAAACTTTATTGATGTAAGATTTTGAAGATTTATAGTAGTTTGGTTAAAACTGTTTTTCATAAATATTTTTTATTTTAAATATAAAATTTATTTATTGGCGATATTATTTTTATGACTTTTATCATTATTTTTGTGAAGGGCTACAAAAAGGATAAGGCTTACATTGCCACGCAAGGTCCAAAGCCAAACACCTTGGTGGATTTTTGGCGAATGGTGTGGCAGGAACAGGTTTCTCTGATCGTCATGGTCGCCAACTTGGTTGAAACTGGAAAAGTACTACAACCAATTTACATTGAATTTACGGACAGTTAATATTTTTTCCGAACAGACGAAATGCGAAAAGTACTGGCCTGACGAACGACAAGTTGTTTGCGTCGAGGGTCTGCAGGTTCTGAGCATTAAGGAGGAACTTACCCCTGATTACATTGTGCGCACTTTGCAAATCATGAATAAAGATCAGAACCGGCAGGTGAGTCTTAAAATTCCAATCTCACCTCAAATAAATAATACCATAGGTTGTGCAAATGCACTACACTCAATGGCCTGACCACGGAGTGCCAATGTACGCTCAGTCGCTTGCCAGTTTTTGCGAAAAAATTCTCGAAATACAAACTGAAACGCCGATTGTTGTTCACTGCAGGTAGAAATAATGAAAAGTATCTAAATTTTGTTATAATGTGAAAATAAATCATATTGAAGCGCTGGCGTTGGACGAACTGGGACAATTATTTTGATTGACATGTGCTTGAAAATGGCGCGGGCGGAAGGTTCTTTTAATGCCTTTGAAGCTTTGGGCAATATTCGTTCTCAGAGGGCTAATATGGTCGACAACGAGGCAATATAAAAATAAAAATTTTAGAAAATTAAATTAAATTTTTATAAATCTTAACAGGTGCAATATAACTTTGCCCACTTGGTTCTGTACGAGGTGATCTGTGTGCCAAAGTACGTCATTTCTTGCAACCACATTACCAGCGAGATAAAAAGTTTGATGGTATTGTATTAATTTTTTTGGCCTGAATTAAATAATTTAAAAACAATTCATTAAAAAAATAACATGATTAATGAAAGAAAATCACAAGTAAATTAATAAGCATAAACAAAAATTAAAGAAGTTATCTTTAATTTTCAGTCAACTTTGTTATAACCTCTCTTTGAATAATTATTTATTTGAAGGCAAACAACAAGAGGCTGTTGAATTTGCGTCGGGCCGAGATTGACAAGATTTGTCAAACCGAGTGGCAACGTCTGAAAAACGCCGACGTGGTTTTGCTGGACAGGTGCAAATTTCCGCATTTCATCGGAGGCAAGTGAAAAAATATATTAAAAAATCCAAATAATCGTTTAATTTATCTTTTTCATCAGCATCAAGTCGGTACGTGAAAATATTTCCGGATCCGAATTCCAGCAACAGTTCAACTTTCATCAATGCCGTTTTCGTCGACGGATTCAAAAAGAAAAACAAATTTATCTGCACACACACGCCGATGGACAGAACGGTGGGCGATTTTTGGCGAATGATTGATCAGTACAAAGTGGAGCACGTCATCGTTCTAAACCAACTGGAACAGGGCGAGGTGGAAATTCTTTAATTTTTAAACACGACGTATTTTAATTAAATTTTCCAGGACAATTTCCTGCCTTTAGTCGAAGGACGTCAACTGTCCGTGGGCGATTTCCACGTAAAACTCAAACAAACATACCAGTTGAAAAGCTGCACAATTCTGGAACTTGAACGCTCATCAGGAGTCGGAAAATTAATAAAAGTTTAAAAAATATTCAAATCTTTGTTTTAGGGCCCTTGTGTAAAAGTGGTTTGCTTTTCTGGCTGGCCTGCTGAAAATCCAATGATTGCGGAAATCGAGTCGCTGATCGAGCTTTGGGAGCAGACGGAAATCGCCAGTTTGGAAAAGTCTAGTGTTTTGGTTTGCCAGTGAGTTATATTTCTCTATATATTAATTCTTTTTATAAAATTATACGTCGAATAGCGACGGAGTTACTGCGTGTGGCTTTTTCGCGGCGTTGGGTTTCATCCTGGAGAAAATGAAACTAGAGCAAAAAATTGACGTGCCCATGGCCATTCGGTGCACCAGAATCACTCGACCTGGATTCATCACAGGAACTGTAATCGTCACACATAGTAAATTTACCTACTTTTATATCATAATTTCTGAAGGAACAAATCGAGATGCTGTACAAAGGAGCGTTTAAATATCTGGAAAATTTTGACACTTACGGGAACTTCAAATGAAGAATTAGTTCTTCGTGAATATCACTTTTAATTTATGTTAAGCAAAAATTGTATCCTTTCTAGTTTAAGTTTGTTTTAAATAATAATTGTCTAATATCTAGGATTTATTCTTAAATAATAGAGTTACTTAAAGGGCTCAAAGTTGTATTAATTTTTATACATTTTGTAAAACTCAATGTCTTAAAAAAAAGTGAATAGGGGTCATTAGAGTTGTTATATGAAAAAAAAGTTACTCATAGGATTCATTCACGCTTAAAAAATGCTTCATAAGTTGCAAATTTGTTATTTACGATTTTATTTAAAATGATTTTTTTTTTATGTAAATCTAAAATAACAAAAAAAAAAATATGTTCAAAAATCAGTTTAACGCCAATTGTTACTTAACATTTATTAATCGCAGGTATGTGTTGAGAACTTACAATATATTTGGTTATCATAATAATTATGTTTTAATATTTGCTGGTTTTTGTTTATGAAAATGCTGATACTATGTGCATAATTATAACTTATACTCTTACAATAAATGATAAATTAATTGCCACAATCAAGAAACAAAAAACACAAATTTTTGAAGAAAAGGCTTCCCCTCAGCACCCTCAGGCTAAAGTTGCAATAAGTGGTTTCTGAAGTTTCGCCGTATTGGTGGCATATTATCAAGCTGCGTTTATTCAAAACATATTTCTAATGGAAATGATGTTTGTTTTTTTCTAACCACAAAATTGTATTTCAGGGAACTGTTTGTATACCTCATAAAACTACAATTTGATAATTTTCACAAAAACAATTGAGTACACCACAAACAATCTCTTTATTAAATTACCGTATTTATTTTTTTATAGGATTTTTTAACCGAGGAGTTGGAGGAGTATTTGTCTGACAATCTAAGTTATGGTTTTTGTTAGTTTTAAATAACCAATAAATGGTATGCGAAGTTTACTTACCAAAGACTTAGATACGTCCAACTTATTAATTAAACATTAAAAATGTTAACATTTTAGTAACGGTGCTATGATATTTCAAGCAATTAAATAAAAGTATACTCAGCTAGCCTAGAAAATTAGAATTCTGCTGAATCACAATCAGAATCAGCCACTCTTGAAAAAATGAACAAGCTTCATTGAATTTTGTGGCAAATTAGGTTTATTAGTGTACCACAAGGCAATCTCTGCCTATAACGAGATACATCATCCAAATATTCAAAATTATAAATAATGAAAACTACAAACAAAATAACATTATTTTAGAAAAAAAAATACACTTGCAATTATTTGAAAAACGTTTCAGAAAAAAATTTATGCTTGTAAAATTTACATTTTTTTTTTATCAAAAATTTGAAATCTAAATTGGATTACTTTATACAAAAAAATTACGTCAGATAAGTGGAGGGAAACTTTTCCTTGTTACAAGCGGAGTTATCGCCAGGAAACACCAAACGCGGCAAGCGTTCTGATTCACATTTACTTGTAAGCTTCGGAACTAAAGAAATGGCCTATCGTCAATGATGAGGGTGTTGTTTCTTTTAATTTTCTCCATACTCTCTGCAGTAAAAGGTTTGCATGTTAAATGATCTTTTGCTTTTTAATTGATTTTTTTCAAAACAACATCGATAAAAATTCTGAACTTGTGAAAATTGATTGCAAGCAATACTTTAAATATTATTTAATTCCAAGAACGGAACACTCCCCTGACATTCTTAATTCAAAAAAGAAACTGATTTTTAAAATTAACTACTTCGCACTTTCAGCCAATCAGTTGTGGTCTGACGTGCTGTTTTGCAATTCAACCCTTGAAAGTTTGAAGTGGTTCTTTTTTAATTATTTTCTTTTTGAATAATATTGATACAGAATTTAACAATATTTGTTCAAGGAAACCTGCTTTTCCTAAAATATCTACAGACAAATGTGACGGGGTGCTATACTTCTGATACGTCGGCACAGTATACAGTTGCACTTCTTAGAGACGTAGAAAAACCTCTACAAGGAGGTATTTTTCTAAAATTAGCAATTTCAACAGAATCTTCAAAACATTTTTTTATTTTCAGCACATTTTTTTTTACCAACAGAAGAAAAAATAGTCTCGTTTATTGAAAATGGTTTCAACATAAAATATAGCGATTGCATATTGCCTTCAAAATGCAGTGCGTGGACGACGAGCGGGTTTAAAAATAAATCAAATTTGGAAAACTGGAATGACGAATATGGACCGATCCTGGACGAACGTTGGAATTGTAAAAACTTTGTTTGCATTACATAAATATTTATGATTATTTTTATGATTTCAAACTTCAAGCGCTTCCTGAAACTGTATCCAGCACAAACTTTAATTTTGGCAAAACATCGCACATGGAAAGGCGGGGAAAAAAAGGAAGGTTTCATTTTTCAGCCCTCGCAAAGGAAAGCGTCCAAGTTCTGTTGACAGCCCACGAGGATTGGCGAAATAAAGCAGGTTTTTACAACGCATTTGACGGATTCAAAAGCAATGCATCGAAAATTAGGTACTATCCGAGAATACCAGACACAAGATATACATACGACTTAGGAATAAAAGATGTACTCAACGATGGAATTGTGAAAGTAAATACTTTTTTCTCAATTCAATTTGATTCTGACTTAATTAATGTGCCAGAATAACACTCCAATTTTCAACTCTGGCAACAACTGGGCAACGTTCACGGTTGACTTTGAAGTGGATGACAACATGACTAAATTCCTTAAATTTTCTGTCGATGATTGGTCGCTTCAGTTCAACTCGTAATCTGCGCTATTAATTAATTGCATTTTTTTTTTATTTGATGAAATATTTCTTAACAGGTCAAAATATCCAAATGTCAAGTTGGAGGCATTTAAATATTATATATTTTCAGCATACAACTTTTATAGAAGTTATTTTCGAGTCCACAAATGTGAGCTTATTAAAATTTTGATACAATACAAATTTAACTTTGTCAAACAACAAGATTGGGTTCTGGAATCTGAGAACAATAGCAAAGGTCGAATGACTTCGACCGTTGAGTTGAATGAGAATGCGACTATCTGCATGGACATCATTGCGTTAATTAAGGAAAATGGAAAATTTTCCGTCCAAGCAAAATCACGAGGATTTGAAAAAAACTCTCAAGTTTCTCATATGGAGAAAAATGTTTGGAAAAAAGAGAGAATCAAATTTGAGAAAATTCCCAAAGGTAAATATGATATCACCGTCGAAGGAAGCAATTTTGTGATCGGACAGATCAAATTTTGCGACAGCAGCAGATCTGGTAAAATATAATTTAATTTTTCTTAGCGCCTAAAATAAAACATAAAATTATAGACGGATATTTAATAACAACAAATACAACTTTATCACGGACGTGTAACTCCCTCAACTCAAGCAAGAAAGGCCAATTGCATGTAGAAATCCATAATAAAAATTACCAAGCAAATTTGCCTTCTTTCAATGGTAAAAATTTCTATTTTTTTCCCCCAAATGTAACAAGTTTTTAGTCACCGACCACGCAAGGGAAATTATCTGCAAGGAACTTGGCAATCCCGAGTGTGAAAATATCCTGGCTTGCGATGTGAGCGGCTGCTTTTGCTTCTCTGGTTACAGTGGATCAAAGTGCATGCAGCGTGCGTTGATTTTAAATTATAAATAATTAGGTACCAATTATGTGTAAATTATAAAAAGGATGCACCAATGGAAATTTCGGGCCAAATTGTAAAAACTCAGTAGATACAAGACAGAATTGCACAGGAAATGGGACGCATGGTAATTACAGCGTCCACACTGGGAAATGTTTTTCATGTGCTGAAGGATTTAGAGCACCAGACTGCAACGACGGTATATTTAAATTTATAATTAACTTGTCTAAAACTTTGGACAAATTTAACCCCAGGAATTATCGTTTACCCTACTTTTCCAACGGTTACGTCAAATGGGAGAATTGCTACGGTCAATTTGTCTTTGGCATGGAAGGACGAAAAAGTGAATAAATATTTCCATCATGGCTTGGTGCAGTTTCGAGTGGTCGGATAAACTCGCTCAGGTTTATATAGTTTTTTTCAATGAACGTTTCATTTTCAGAAGGAAAGTGATCAAACATGGGAAAACTATACATTTGAAAAGGGGTCTCTTTTTTTAAATGTAACAAATTTGAGTTTTAACACCACATATGATGTTCGGATCGTCTTGGTGGAGATAAACGGCGGATCGCATGAAAAAGGGGCTAAAATTGGAACTTTTTCGACTCCTAAATGCTTGCCGATAAGTACGCTCCAAAATTATTTTCAAATGGAGAACAGATTACATTAATTATGATTTGGGAGCAGGTTTCGCCGAATCAGCAGTCTTTGAAAATGGATCGTGGAGATTAACAGGAGACGAAAACTTGTGTAAAATTTTTGATTGCAAGCTGCAATACTCGGAGAAAAATGTTTCTTGCAATGAAACAGACAAAAGAAAAAAATTTACCATATTTTTAACAGCAGAAGATGGCAGTTCGTTTTTCAAATATTTTTCAAGCGAATATCTCAATCCTGGTAATATAAATGCAGCATCGAGCTTTATATATACTAATTTTAAAATTAATAATTTCAAATACAGAGCCTCAAGAACAAACCAGTATCATACACATGTCAATTGGGATTACATTAGCTATATTGGTTTTCGTGGTGCTGATCTTCATTTCTCGAAACGTTATACGAAGATTTTTCACAACTGTGAAACAAAGAAATGACACGTTATTGACAAGTAATTTTGGCTGCATACAAATGATTTTTTTTAATTCACCTGATTTCATAAAAGGTGTTCCGATGGATAACATTGCTCCACTACCTTCAACAGGAGAAGCTTGTGTAGAAATTTCGACTCTACAGCACAGTAAGGAAGCGAAAATAAAAGTTTCTGAATTTGAAGAATTTTTAGAACGGGCCATTAAATCCGGTCTCTTAAAGCAACAACACCGAGTAAGATTTTAAAATTCTATTTGACGGACGAGACAAAAACTGTTTTAACTAAAAAAAATTTAGGTTTTTCCCCGAGGACAAACAAAACCTTGGGAAGTGGGAACGTCAGTGGAAAACAAGAAAAAGAATCGTTACGGAAATCTCGCTGCATATGATGAAACAAGAGTTCGGCTGAAAGTGAGAGGTGCAGCAGTCAGTGACTATATTAACGCAAATTACGTTGACGTAAGTTAAAGTTTCTTTTATTTTTTAATAATACAATTTTTGGGCGTTTTTTAATTGCAAATGTTTCACATGTTTACATTAATACACAGGGCTTCAATAAAAGTAAGGCATACATTGCTACTCAAGGTCCAAAGAAAACCACGCTCGTCGATTTCTGGAGCATGATTTGGCACGAAAGCGTTGATTTGATAGTCATGGTTGCAAATGTAATTGAAAACGGAAAAGTGAGTTGCCAAATATATTTTCCAGGATTTCTAAAACAAAACAAAAAAAAATTATGTGCAAAGGTCAAATGTGAGAAATATTGGCCGGATATTGAGCAAACGGTCTGCCACGGAAGTTTCAAAATCCAAAATTTATCCGAGACCATCCACTTGGATTTTATGGAAAGATCTCTTGTCATTTCAAATGGAGATGAAAGTCGGCAGGTAAAACTTTAAAGCTGATTAAAATTTGATTTGGTTAAAAAATTAAAAATAATAAATTTATCTTCAACAGATAATTCATATGCACTACACGATGTGGCCCGACCACGGAGTCCCATTCTATCCTCGCTCAATGGCTGATTTTGCAGAACGGATAATTGATATTGCCACAAACAACCCTATAACCGTGCATTGCAGTGCCGGCGTCGGACGAACGGGCACTTTAATGTTGATTGACGCGTGTTTGAGAATGGCCAGGGCCACCGAACATCTCAGTCCGTTTGAGTTCTTGGGAAAAATGCGTTCTCAGAGAGCAAATTTGGTTGATAATGAGGCAAGCTATAATTTTGTAGGAAAAAAACATATTTTTTAACCATATAATTTGAAAATTCCTACAGCTTCAGTACACTTTCGTTCATTCGGTTCTATATGAGGCTCTTTGTATACCAAAATTCCACATTGAATGCAACTCTTTCACTGCAAGGTTGCAAAATTTAATGGTAATTTCATCTTATTACATAAACATAAAAAATCCTAATTTTTGAGACATAGGCTTCAAACAAAATGCTATTGAAAGAAGAGTGGAATTTGGTTGGAAAAATTAGTGCCAAAGATTGGGAAATGTTGGAAAAAGATGCATCATTTCAAGTGCCAGAAGATAAGTGCAAAGATTTAACTGTCCAATCAGGTGCAATTTTTTTTAGCAAAACAATTTCACCCTAATAATAAAGATCTTAAGTCCCCAACAAGTACATCAAACTGTTGCCGGAGGTAATGGAAGGTCTGATGAACACCTTTATTGATGCAGTTTGTGTGGATGGGTTCAATCGCAAAGACGCGCACATAATTACTGCAACTCCAATGAGCAACACAATTGGCGACTTTTGGCGCATGATTTACCAACGAAAAATCGAGCAAATCATTGTTCTAAATGAACGAGCACAAAACGAGGTTTAAATTAGAATAATATCAGCATAATAATTTAAAATAATTTAGATATTTTCAACATTTTCATTTCAGCCGATCTTTTTGCCGTCAGAACCGAACAGCCCGCTTTGTTTTACAAATCTTGCGGTCAGCGTTCAAAAGACGTATAATCTAAAGAACTGCCGAATTTATACTCTCGGTGTCCATAAGGTCTTGTTATAGAGGCAAATGTTTTTATTTAATTCACAGCTTTTTTATTAGGAAAATGACAACCAAATGGTGAATGTCGTTCTATTTCCTGGTTGGCCTGCTGGAACTGAGGCGCCGCAAAGTATATTTTCTCTCATCGAACTTTGGGAAGAGACCGAAATTTCAAGGTCCATCGCTAAACCAAGTGTCTTGGTGTGCAAGTATGACTAGAAAAAATAAGCATTTCTTCCCTAATTAATTGGCATAATTGTAGTGACGGGTACACTGCATGCGGCCTTTTCATCGCACTTGGCTTTATGCTGGAGAAAATGAAATTGGAACACCAGGTGGACGTTCCCACAGCCGTGAGAGTGGCCAGACTTGTCAAGCCTCGATTCTTGACATCCATGGTAAATTTTAAATGTGGAAGTTCAATAAAAATAATTAATAAGTGTTACCAGGAACAATACGAAATGCTCTACAGTGCGGCCCAGACTTATCTTGAGGCTTTCGACACGTACGGGAATTTCAAATGACGAATCAAGACCCTTCAAAGTATAATATAATCAATATTATTACTTTTATAGGATGAGATTAGATAAGAGTTAACCATATTAGATTCCCTCTTAATTTTACATTTCATCAAATTAGAAAAAAAAACAATCAAAAGATGATTATTTTTTGCTTTACTTCAGCTTACATATAAGTAATATTCAATTATGATATAGAAGATAAAATTAGAATATATAATCGAATTATCAACAGTATAGTTATCGATAATGAAAAATACTGGTTTTTAGTTCTTGGTTGCGCAACTCCTTTAGTAAAAAGAAAAAGTAATATTTAAATGTGCTGGGTTTCAACATAAATGACAAAAAAAAATTCTAATCTATAGTTTACTAAACATTGAACATAATTATATTTATAGACTAGCTCCGAGCAAATATTACAGTTTAACCGTTTTCAATTAATTTCAAATAGCAATAATTACACTATATTAACTTACTTAATTTTTATATATCCGGTGTTTGCTTGTTAGAGCTTTATATGTACAGTAAATTATATTTCATTTAAAGCATTAATTATGGTGCGCGTTACGCAATGTAGTTTACATTTAAAATGTATAAAATCAATTGTGAGTTTGAAAGAACTTTAGCTGTGGTTTATAGTTTGTCCATCATAATTATTTTTTAAATTTAATACAAATTGTTAGAATAAATTTCTTTATCAATTCATTTATTAAACTTTTATTTTTATGATGAAGTAGAATTCCCTGGCGATAAGATAAGGCATAGGAAAGGAAACTAACGCAAATCCAACCGCAGAAATAAGAACTGGGACTTAAAAAATAAAAGATTATGAAATAAATATTTGCTCACAAAATTGCTTGTGTATATTTTGTTGTTTTGACTTAAAATAAATTAATACAAAATAATGATTTGTTTATTCTTGCATCAAAATTTTATTTCAAACCACGCAGTTTTTAAAACATTCCTTTGCAATAAAAATCAAACAAGCATCAAACTGAGGTCAAATTTTCTTCATACTTTTGACTCTCATCATAGATAACATCCGCATCGTCAAGAGAGTTTCTTCCTGATACGACATTCTTGTGAAAAATTTTAACACTTTGGCTGACCATGTTGGGTGTCATAAATTCTGCCAAAGTTTTTGCTGTGCTCAAACGGTCAAATGGATAGCCCATGGGTTTCTTGTCTGGGTACTTCTGGTTGAAAATGCCACAGTAAGAAGCCGCAGTTTGGCAAACGTCACCCGAATTTTTTGAAACTTTTGTCGGTGTCTAAAAAAAGATTCTTCCATTTTGAAACCAAAGACTTCTAAAAAAAATATATGAAAATTACCCAATCAGTGGCGTAGTTTGAAGCTATGACAAGAAGGACGCCTGGATAACCTTCCGTGTTGCCCTTCGGGATTAACATGTGATGCGGCCAACCGCAGCCACAGCGGCCAGGGTCGTTAATCGCAGTTTCATTGTACTCAAGTGATTTTGTAGACTGGGCAAAAGGTATGGTTACGGACGATTCCATGGAACGGCGGGTAATTGTGTTAGAACCTGGCTTCACTGAAAATAATTTATTAACGTGTTGGAAATCCTTCATAATTTATGCCTAGCTTTTTAAAATAAAATTATGGGGAGTTAGAGAAATAATAATGCATAAATATTTTAAATTAAAACTAGCATAGATAAGAAGTACTGTCTATGAAATCAACAAAAAGTCATGAGCATGAGAAAATAAGTGAATTTTGTTTTATATAAAAATAATCACTAATTAAATTATTGATCTAAAATAAAAATAAAACTTGCATTGCACATCAAACTTGTCAAGTTCAATGAAGAGAGTTCGCTGCTTGTTGAAATTGAGTTCCTCGCCTGACGCATCATACTTCGGGGCAAAGAAAATCCTAATCAATGCTTTCTTCGCCAGTAAATTGTCATTGAAAGCCTAAATTTCATTTTTCATCTCAGTATTTTGTAAAAATCTTTACTAAGTGTTCAACCGTTATTTGGTACGTGAAGTTGCGGTGATCAAGGTGGACGACTTTGACTGAGACAGGACCTCTTGGAAAAAAGTCCAAACCTCGGCTCAGGTCGATCGTCCTCCTTTGCCAAAAAGTATAAAGGGTGTTGGACGATGTAATATAATCAGTTGAGACCAATGCGTTTGTCAACCGAATGCCGTTGAACTTAAGCTGAAATTAGAAAATTTAAAGAATTAAGGCAGAAATTTAATTAGATTTTTAATTTGAACCTCATTTTCTGCATAAGGTGCGAGAGTTTCTTTGTACTTTTGAAAAATGTGGTTAATCATGCCATGCAGTCTATAAAAAACAGGGTCTCTCATCGCCGTCTCCACTGTTCCAATCACTGCCAAGCCCTCAAGGTAAATTTCGAGTGGATCGTGAACCCATGCGATTGCCAAGTGGACAAAATTGTGCAGATTGTTGTAATATGGCCGATTTATGCTGTATTCGGTGGGCTCAACAATTTTGCCCAAGACATCAATGCCATCAAATTCGTCAAGTGCCAAAGTGGAACCATCAGGCTAATAAAGGTTCAGATTAAATGAGAATTTTTTCATATATATTCTCCATGAAAATATGTAAAAAAAATTGAGTTTAATTTTCGTAATAATGAGAGTAACTATTAATTAATTTCTAATCAAAGTATATAATTATGCAGTATTCAGTATATAAAATTTAAATTTTAAATGATAGTTGTGCTTACTTTTTGCACCCTTCCCTTGTCTATCGCTTCCATAATTCTCGATCTCCACAAATCCAGCTCATTTATTTCCATTACTACTTGATCCGCCTCTCTGTCAAGGTCCTAATTTAAGTTAACTTTTGTAGTGTACCACAATACAATCACTGCCGATGTCAATCGACATCATCCACTTAATAATAATAATTAATGAATTGTAAATGAAAACTACAAAAATTTTAGAAAAAGAAAAATACACATAAATTTTCTGAAAAAGCTTTTTCTGAAAAAATTAATATGTTCAATTTAGAATTGCTGTGAAAATTATAAATTAAAATAAAAATTGGATTATTAACTTACACATTAAAACTTAAAATAATTTTATTTTTAATTAACAAACTTTTAAAAGTACTCCTGCTGGTCTGGGTGTCCAATTTTTTGAGGCCGTTTGGGTGAAAAGTTTTGGAAAGTACGCCTCAGTAATTGGAGCATGAAAGTCGGTCAATCTAACTAGCCGAGGTAAATTGTTGCACATCCGCTCAATTTCGTAGCGGGCCAAAATTTGTTCGTGAGTGTAGTAAAATAATTCTCCCCTCCTGTCTTTATTCACCACGTTTTCTGGCCCCTGGAAAGGATAAATCAAGTGCCAGTTCCAGTGGTGCAGATTTATTCCAATGTCCTCGCGGAAATATGCCAATTTTTGTTCCGGTTCGCGAATCGATGCGGTTGGATTGCTCTCCAGATCAAATACAGTGGACTTAAATTAAATAAATTACACACCGCCAATAAAATAATTAATATATAGGTAAATTGGTCGCACAGTTAATTGTGAAGTTTGCTTATTAGAGTCCCCTAACATCAATGCCAATTGCTTGGCTTCCATCAAAGTAGGCCCATCGATGAACTTTTCTGGGAAGATTTCAAACAACGGTGGCAGTTTGATGCTTTTGCAGTCCTCTCTGTGATAAATAGAGACTACAAAACTATGCACGAAAAGGCCAGGATTAACGTTGTCCCGAAAAATTGCTGCCGCGTTGAAAAACGATTTGATATCTTTCTGGTCTAAAAGTTTTATAATTAGTTTCCGATGTCAAGATTTATAAAGAAAATTATTCAAACCCATGAGGAATTTTGTCATGGTGCTCGCCATGTTCATGTGGCTTGGAGTGAAAGTAGAGAATCTCTTAGTTCTCTCAAGAGAACTGAATTCCTCAATTAGCTTGGAAACTTCATCGTTTCTTTCAATCTGAAATTTCTGATTCCCCGCCTGGGATGCTGATGATTTATTCACTAAAATCGAAGCAAACGGAGCGATGTTGTCACTCTGATATATTTTTAATTTTTAACAAGTGAGCATTTAAAATAATTAAAAGTTTCTCACAATGTATTCAGGGGGCATGATGAATGTAATCGGAGCTCTTTCCCCTTTTGGTATCAGAAGAGGCTCATGAATGCGGTCAAGAAGTGCTAGAGTAAGTCTTTGGGCGTCTAATTGTGCCCAAGAAACTTTAAGCACAGCTTAAATATTTTTAAATATTAAGTATGAATATTTTGTAAATAAAATCAACAACTCACTGGTGACAAATAAGAGCCAAAAAGCTGACATGTCTCTGCGGAGTGCCTTCGACAGAATGTTCAGAAAGGAAAGTGACTTCTTTAACTTAACAGGGCGCGAGTAACAATACACGAAAGACCTGCCAAGCCTGAGAGAAATAAATTTAAGAAAATGCATAAAATAATGGAAAGATAAAGTCACACTGTTTGTTTAAAAAAACCTTCACATGTCAAGCGCGTCGAAAAAGCAATTACGCGATAAAAAAAAAAATTTAAAAAAAAAACACTCTACAGAAGGAAATTTCTGCCGCCTTAATTATGTTTTAGTTTTACGAGTTCCAGCCGTGCGCTAATTTTTCAGTTAATGAAACAATAAAATAATATTTTTACATTTACCCTGAACATTATTCCGCGTCTGTATATGCGACAAACTCAAATTTTTTAAATTATTACATTTTAATTTTATTTATTCATATAATGTTAATTTCTTTATGTTTTTCCGACATTTGAAATTTTAAAATTAAGGTAGATTTAATACATGCATTTTTGGATATAATTATGGATCCTCTTTTTAAAATAATTCATTCAAGGCACGCAAAAGTGGTTCTATATGATTTACCCTTGCAAAAAAAAATTAAAAATCTTAAAGGTCCGAAATTAAACTGACAAAGCCAAGGCGCACAATTATGTTTAAAGCAATGGAAAATTTCCAGTTTGTCCTTGGTGACACGTGATTGTTCTTCAGGTTAACGACCAGCAGGGGAAATGGGGAAAACTTAAAAATTGTTCGTGAGGTTCGTTTTGTTCTGGACGGTTTCCCTATCTTCAAAATTATCAGTGCCAAGCACAAATCATGCAAGTCGAGTCACTGTTTACCTTTTCGCAGCAAAAAAAGGTATTAAAAAGGTAGGCTCTGAATAATTAATTATTTCCGCCTGGCAACAATTGACGGGGTCTCCTCATAGGGCCCTAAAAAATAAAATATTTTGTAAAAATTCAAATATTCTAGCGTATTTTCATGTTTATCCAGAGTTTTTTTTATCTTAAACATACCAAAAAAATAAGAGTTCTTGGCAGCTGTGATTAAACGTTGAACAATTAAAAGTCACGGCTTTTTAAGCAATGAATGTTTTTGGTTAATTTTACTTTTACAAAGTGTGGGAGATAAGGTGTGTGTATTTTGGGGTACTCGTCCTGATTAATAAGAGGTCACATTGAAAATCTCAAGATAGAAAGAAAGGGAATAAGAATTCATTATGCTTATTTTTTTTTTTTTTATTAGTTATTAATGATGTGTGACTGTCAAACTTATAAAAATTAACTTTGTTTCATTAAAATCAACCAATAAATTTCTCGACGTTGACAAACGTTGCTTAATGAAAACAATAATAGCATCTATAAATAACATATATTCAACATCTTGTATCTTTCAAGTTGGTCCTGACTCAATCTTCAGATGAAGAGTCGGATAAGGTTTCTTATCAAAAGAAACACAAAACTGATTGAGGTTCGCGTGATACCGAGTATGCATTATCACACCATCCTACTTGTGATGCAGCCTTGTGTTTCCCACGTCCATCACCTGATCGTCTCGAGATGGGTAATTTCGGCCACGGGGATTTCCTGATTCAAGTAGGTTTGTGTCGACTATAAAAGCGCGTCCCTCTGATCCGAGGTATTGCAAATAGCAAACAGCTTCAACTAAAAGATCACAATGTCTCTCCGAGCACTGAATTTGAGCGCCTCTTTGGCTAAGCAAGCGGTCAGACTCAACCAGCAAGTGACCTCTCAGGTCAGAGCCCTCAACACTTGGACCCCTGTTCGAGCTTCTTCTGACAAAGGTGAGAAATCTATGCAATTATAATTTATTTTCAAGTTACAGAAATTTTTGCAGTTATTATTTTGTAAAAAAAACTTTAATTATTATTATTTTTTTTTAATTTCTAAAAAAATCTTACTGCAATGTCGATCAATCAAAATAGTGTGGGCTAGGGCTTTTTAATAAAATATTTTTAAATGAGGAAAAAATAAACAAAATTGTATACAATTAATAAAATGCATAAAAGATATACTAAAAAATAGTTGATTAAATTTTTCTTTTGTAAATTTTATTAGTATAATTGTTGTTCATTTTGTCCACATAGTTGATTGAAAAAATTTTCAGTGTTCAATGTGAACGATGAAGACGATTCGAAGGTGCCATGGAGGCCATTCTTCTTTGGAGCAGTGACTGAGCATGTCGAAGACGCCGAGGCCACTTTTGTCAGCCAGATGCTGAAAGTTATGACCTCACAGAATTAAAGTTAAACGTTTTAGTTTTATGTGACATAGATATTGGTGGATCTGATCGAAAATTTCTTAGAAAATAAATAATCGTATATAGTTCTATTTTTTAATCAAGATATTTTCATTGAACAAACCCTTAAGTATGCCAATTAGTTAGTTAAAACGATAAAAGTAAAACTCTTTAAACCTTGGCAATACATTTTCGCGGCGTTCCATAAAATAAAGGAATCCTCAAAAAGAAAATACTTTTCGTCAATTCCTTCAATAATTCCTTAAAAAGTTTTTTATTTTCTTTTATAATTTCAAGTTAAAGTATTAAATTTTTGAGACAATTATTCTGAAAAGTTCCAAAAGGAGAAAATTTTGAGCTTTTGCAAATGTTCAGCACGAGTTCTCGATCTCACCGAGGAGCGGAACGCTTGTGCCAACAGCCCTTACTTTTAGCCTGATGTTTGATTCGCAGACAAGGGGATGGCGCTGGCGCTGCTGGAAAGGGCAAACTGCCAGGGGTGGCTCGGGGGTGGCCATCCCGGCTGTGTTTGCTTTGGCTCACTTGTCGGTCGCAGCTCGGCCGGCTCGGATCGTTGAGTTAGGGTGTGGAGAGGGGCCAACATGCTTCTCTGAACAGGTGAGTACAAAAAAGATTTGATAAATTGCACATTTTGTGTACGATGAAAACAGGAAAAACAATTTCCTAAAAAATGCTGTCGGTGGCAAAAAAAGAGAAGTGAGTTCCGGGTTCTGAGGCAAATGATGGCAGGTTGGAAGCTCCGTGCTCTTCATAAAATACCTTCATTTTTAATTTTTATTAATTTCATAATTAAGACTTTTTTTCCTCAAAATTAAATTATTTACCAAACATTTAATTAATTTGAGCAGAGGCAATTGGTTGATTGCAATGATTAATCTCTACCTACAATTTTTTTCGTAATTGATTTTTTTACTTCTGATTGAGGAAATAAATTAAATGTATTGAAAGATTAAGGTTAAAAAATTCATTTGGGAATTCATTTGGGAATTCAGGGCTCGATAGTATTAATTTTAATAAAACATGAAAATAAAGTAAATAAAATATAATAAATTAATTTGCAGCGTATCATTGTTATTTTGTAAAGAAAGGCTGAAAATGTTTGCTGTACTTTACAAATATTTAAACTATGATTTATTACATTATTTTTGTTATCTTTCTTCCTCAATCTCAATTTTCCCCACATTTGATTAAATGATTAAATATATTATTATAAAATAATTACTCAGCTAGACATAGCCTCTGGGAACAAATCAAATTACAAGCCATTTCTACATCGTGGCGGGCAAACATTTTGAAACACGAACCAATTGAATCGCAAATTAATTATCTTTCGACGAGATTGGAAACGCCGTTAGCGATTTGGCCGTCGTGGAAAGTGACGCAACGCCCACATTTGGGTGCGCACTTAATTATTAATTCATCGATCAGTTTGTCTGTTTGTTTGCCAATTCGCTTGTTGCGGGCCAAACGGTCGACGGACGAGGATCGCAGGCTGGAAGCACTCGAGTTGAGGCGAACGAACAAATGAATTAATCAAATTAGACTAACTGGCTGCCTTTCTCTAACGTGCACATTGTTCAAGCCCTGGCTGCTCTACACGCGTTTTAACTACAATGGAAATCTCTGCATAATGTATCAACGGGCTTTATTGTAGGGCAAACACGAGTGGTCTCACCGACGGAATTCTCTGCGGAATTTATTTTTTTATATTGCTTACACAATAATAGTAATAATAATCACATAAAGGTGTGTGCATCGTTTGATGTTGCAAAAAAAATTGAATTTCAACCGGTTGGGTGGAAAAAGAGACTTTTTTTCTGCTTGAGCGCTTTGTCTCTTTCACGCTCATTCTCACCAAGAGAAAGAGTTTCTTGCTCCAAATCCTGCCGCTGCGAATGAGAAAAGTTTCTTGTTATCAAACAAATGGCAACGCTTTCTTTCGCTCGTTTGCACGCTCTTCACTTGTGCACGCGCTAAATTGGAAGGAGGTCTCAGATCTAGGAATGTTCACTTTCTCACTCGCAATCAGATCGAGAAAAAATTCTATGCCAAGAAAATGTTTAAATGTAACAACGGCACCTGAAAGACAGATATTTAATTAAAAATGTACAATTTCCTTTCTTTGATTGGAAAATTTTCCGTTTGAGGAACTCATCTTAAAGAAATATAAAAGTGGGCCTTTCCTCCTTGAATCATTATTTTATAGAGAACAATTCTGATCATTTTCCACGTTAGAATAAATTATTGTATTTATTTAAATCCTCTCACCCAAAGAGAAAATTCCAATGTAAATAAATACATGCTCAAGACTATGAAAAATGAAACAAAAGATGTTGATTTTACTGTTTCCATCATGGTTTTTTTTAATTATACCCAGAACTGCAGATTTTTTTCTAGGCGGTTTCAAGCCATCGAATTGATTCATCAAAATTTCAAAGCTTGTAACATTAATTGCCCTGGAAATGACATGAATTTTAATAAAATAAATTATTTTATGTTAATACCAGCTTCAATTGTTTTAAAATATTATTTTTATAAAATATAGACATTTAAAATGAAAAATTTTACGCATAAAAAAATTACGTTATTGCTGTAAATTTTTTTCATTGTTTTTTGCAACATAAACATTATTTTTTAAACTTTTAAAACAATTATCAATGAAAATGAAGCCGATTATTTCTTCGCACAGTTTGACCAACCTAGAAAGAAAACTGGGTGCAATTTCATTTTTTGTCATTCGAAGCAGCATCACTCTCGTTTAGTCCTTCTTACATTTGATCAAACTTTCTTTCCTTGTGAAACGTGTTTTTATGTATGATGCCTCCCTCGCCAAACTTTACGTGTGTAGCAGAGATGTGAAATGCGATACACACACCTAAATAATGTCACGAGAAGCCAAATTCCGCGAGTTGCACTTTCTGGTCACGTAGTCGAGAAGGTGCAGAGCGACCGCAACTTCTTCGGACGCATTAAAACACGCTCGTTCTCATCCAACTGGAAATTCGCCACGATAATCTTGCCGGAACGACGCAGGCTTTAATATTAAAAGAGATCCACCTTCTTCTCGTTCGACGCGAAAGAACTCCTTATGCAAATTCAACCCGGTCTAAAGAGAGGGGCTGCTGCTGCTGCTGGAGAGCACGCTCTCGTCGTCTCGCGCCAAAAGAAGAAACGAGGGCCGAAACACGATCCATTTTTCATGTTGCGACTGTCAAGTTTGGCAGAACACCATCAATTCCACACGGTTTATGAATATTTTCTCCGCGAGAACACGGCTCAATTTGACTGCAGCTCCCTGAAGTGTTCGGAGCACTTCCATTCTCATTAAACTGCGGAAATGTTGAATTATTTCACTTGCAAACTGCACTCTTATACTTGGAATAAATCAGAGAAAACCTTTTAAAGACGCCCTATTTTTCCTCGGCATTATGATTCCTTAAAATTATTAAAAATACAAAACCAGGAAAATCTTATGACCTTATTAAGTAGGGTAAAATTGCGATGTTAGAAATTGGTGAGGAGAGGTTCTTTAATTATTCATATAATTATTAATTTATCCCCTAACTTTACATGAGAATATTTGCTCCTTCACAAACCCGGTTGCTACAGAGTACAATCCCTTGTACGGTCCATTAAATCCGTATAGTAATGTTTTGTTAGTCTGTTGGAGCAGCAGAGCGGATATTGCCCTTAACCCTTAAGTCTATCCATGCATAGCAAATGAGTTTCTAAGCATCTTAAATGTAGGCCAAAGGGTTGAGAAATTTCTAAAATTAACCAAAACTTTCATCATAACGTTCAAAATCCACACCGTGAAAATAATTTAAAGCTTAATTTGAGCTACAATCATAAATTTTTTTTATAAAAAAAATTGAGTTAAAATCACCAAATATTAGAGAATTCATTACGTAAATAAAATTTACTTGCGAAATTAGATTTTGGTAGTTTTTACGAAAACTTAACAAAACAAAAGGTAAATTAAAAATTCATTTCAATGTCTATTCGCAAGCGAATTTGATTTGAATTGTCTGATCTCTGCATTTGATAGTGCGACAAAAGCGAGCACTGAAAGGTCACAGGTGTCAATCAGTCTGTCGTCTGGGTGCTTTCGTCTCTTGGAAATTATTCTGTTCGATTTGTGAGCTGCGATGCGCGCGAGTGAGTTAATTGGTGGGGTTATCAGCCGCTAACCAGACGCGCGCACCTGCAAGCAGGGCCTGCCGTCGAGCAATCAACAGCCCCATTCGCACAATGAAATGCTTCAGATCAATAACCGGCATGTGTCTCATACGTACATATGTACGAACGAGAGACGGTATAACGCTGGGTCGCGCCCTGCAACCTGCCTTGGCCGAGAGCATCAAGATTGGTAACGCGGTGTGGTCGTTTCTCATAATTTCGCCTGAATCTGTGAGTCGACTGCTGGATTGCCAGCGAGGACAGGTCGATGGATTACGAATATATTTCATGTCACACGCAAAATTGTTCACGCAACTCTTCCGAGGAAAATGGGCTTGCATGAAAAGGATCCAACGAGATAATAAAGAGCTGATTTCTACTGAAATAGGCCGAAGAAGAAATTATTGGGCCATAATCTTTTGTTATACATTTAAATTTAATTAGATATAAATATTTTTAGTAAAAATGTCACTTTTTAGGAAAGTAATTTCAATTTTTACTGATATTTGATATTTTGGTGAACATTATAGCATCCCAAAAGTACGCCCACGTTTTAATTGGACGCGGAAAGAACAAAAAATTGAGCCAACACGGTGGGCTCCAATCCATCAAAGCCAAAATTAAAAAAGAATCCCTCGGACGCCATCGATTATCTGTGTGCGAAGCTGCCCGGCGAATTTCAATCGCAGGTGAATGCAGCGTGTTATCTGAGCTTCTGATAATCCAATTAGTTGGAGTTCTTTTCCCAACGATCGCCCCGCGGTTTACGAGGCTGCTCACTCTCTCTAGCCGCCAATAAACGTGCCCAGGGCTCGCGGGCGTCAGTCGGGGCTGCAGCATTCTGGCGTTTGATTCAATTCGTTGGGTTGCGTGATGGAGAAATAAAAATGACGAGAGATAGAGAGATAGGCGACCGCCACTCTGCTATTTAATTCAATAACTATGGCAGAGCAACAGACAGTTTGCTGCTGTTTGGACGAAAAATTTCTCACTGACCATTTCAGAAGAGAAAAATGTTGATAAATATTGAATAAATTTTTGTCTGAAAATTTTGAAGAAACATAAGCTTTTGGAGCATTTGAGCAAAGACTGCAATGGAATAATTTATGATTTACTTACTTTTTAAAATTAAAACTTAAGGAAACATATTATATAAAAAAAGAAATAATTCAGGCGATTATATTATTCTTTTCACATTGATTTTTCATCAGATAATTACCAAAAATATAATCCATCGAAAATATTCATGAATTTATAGTTATAAAATTGTTTTTCCTAATGTTGGCAGTTTAAAAATGTTTATTATTATTATTATTATTATTATTATTATTATTATTATTATTTTTTTTTTTTTTTTTTAATTTCAAAGCGATAATATTTGATTATTTTTCTCTAGTGTTCGTAATATTTTCCATGCT